CTCCTCGAGCCTGTTACACAGGAACAGGAGGCCATTCAGCCTCCCCCGCTCCTCCTCGAGCCTGTTACACAGGAACAGGAGGAGGCCTGTTCACTGTCCTTCAGCCTCTCCCGTCCTTCGATAAAGTCACGGCTCATCTGTGTCCCTCAGACACTGTCTCCATTTCCCCTCTCCGTCGCCCTTAGCAATTTCTTGCTGTCTTCGACCGGGCAGTCTAGATCCTGAACCTCCGAGCTAAATGCGTCCCAAACCCTGAGATAGGCCTCCCTCGCGGCTAAGCTTTTGAGAGTTCAGACTAGCTTGACTAAAAAAAAATTTCCCAGCACGCCTTTCACAATCGCGTAGCCATTTCTGTTGCTGGCTAGGGCTCTCTCCCACCCTCGGGCTCTGTGTTGGAAAGTCGCTGCTGTCTGGTCTTAAATTGAGCCCTCGAGGCCAAAGGTCTGGGGTCCAACACATAGCTCTCACCCCCAGCGGCCAGCTCACAGAACTTCCGAATGTTTCAGGCACAGGAAGCTTTCACGCACTCTGATTCCTTCCATATGCACAGTCACACAGCACAGAAACAGACTCATACTGCTTTCCCAAACGGAACTAGTCCCATTTGCCAGCATTTGGCCCCCATCCCCCTGAACCCTTCCTTATCCATGTCCCCATCCAGATGGCTTTCGAACGTCGTCATTGTACCAGCCCCCACCCAAATCCTCTGGCAGCTCGTTCCATACACGCACCACCTTCTGCGTGAAAAAGTTGCCCCTCAGGTTCCTTTCACCTTAACCCTATGCCCCTATAGCCCTGGATTCCCCCACTCCTGGGGGAAAAGACTTTTCCTATTCACCCTAACCGTGCCCCTCATGATTTTATAAACCTCGATAAGGTCACCCCCTCAGCCTCCGACGCTCCAGGGAAAATAACACCAGCCTCTCCCTGTAGCTCAAACCCTCCAACATCCTTGTAAATCTTTTCTGCAATTCCCAGGTTTAACCACATCCGTTCTATAGCAGGGAGAATTGCACGTGGTATTCTAAAAGTGGCCGAACCAATGTCCTGTACAGCTCAACCCCTTCCAACATCCTGGTAAATCTTTTCTGAACCCTTTCAAGTTTCACAACATCCTTCCTGTAGCGGGGAGACCAGAACTGAACGCAGTATTCCCAAAGCGGCCTCACCAATACGGCCGCAACATGGCCCTCCCGGCTCCTACGCTCAACGCGCCGACCAATAAAGACAAGCGTCCCAAACCCCTTCTTCACCGCCCTGTCTACCTGCGTCTCCGCTTTCAAGGAACTATGTACCTGCTCCCCCAAGGTCTCTCTGTTCAGCGACACTCCCCAGAGATTGGATTTCACAAACGCAGAAAGCGATTGAGGCCCTATATTGTGCGTTTTCAAGAAAAAAAAAGAGCTTGATGCAGCCAAAGGGATTTTGGGGGCCGGGCCGAGAGAACAGGTTTGAACTCGATGGTCAGCCTTGATCGTATTGAAATGGCAGAACAGATTCATCGGGCTGAATGGCCTACCTGTCTTCTGTTTATCCTTATTTCCGTGTTTGAGGGCATGGATGGGAAGGCAGGTGGATAGTCAGAGTTTAGAATCAGAATTAGCTTTATTGTCACACATACTCACACGCGAGTACAGCAAAAAATTTACACGTCACCACTCACGGCACCGTCTTTGGTACCAAAGGTCCAGATTCTTAAGTACAAATTCTGAGGGGAGAAAAGTTAAAAGCAGAAAGAAATTAAAAAGTCTCGCGATAATTTAGAAAAACAGAGAAATGTGAGTTCAGGATAACAGTCCTTCCAAACTAGTCCGCACTGGGCTTTACCTCGAGGCCTGGAGTTCGAGTCCACGCTGAGGCCTGGAGTTCGAGTCCACGCTGAGGCCTAGAGTTCGAGTCCAGGCTGAGGCCTGAAGTTTGAGTCCATGCTGAGACCTGAAGTTCGAGTCCACACTGAGGCCGGGAGTTCGAGTTCACGCTGAAGCCAGGAGTTCGAGTCCACGCTGAGGCCTAGAGTTTGAGTCCACACTGAGGCCGGCAGTTCGAGTCCGTGCTGAGGCATGGAGTTCAAGTCCATGCTGAGACCTGAAGTTCGAGTCCACACTGAGGCCTAGAGTTCGAGTCCACACCGAGGCTGGGAGTTCGAGTTCATGCTGAGGCCTAGAGTTCAAGTCCACGTTGAGGCCTGGAGTTCAAGTCCACCCTGAGACTGGGTGTTCGAGTCCACGCTGAGGTCTGGTTTTTGAGTCCATGCTGGGAATTCGAGGGTGGCCTAAATGAAAGAGGACTCGCTAACTGAGAGGGCGTTTGAGAAATGTTTGAGCAGTACTTGCGTTGCTGAGTGCAGGGAAATGGGACGAGCGAGAAATGAGATTTTTGTTGACTGTCATGGAGACGCCTGGTTGAGTGGCCTCCTCCTGCTGTTGCCACGGAGGCCTAGGAGGCTCAAACTTTGATGGAGACAGAGCGCGCCCCTCCCGATCTGCCCACCCTCTCCTCATAAGACAGGCCCCCATCATCCCTGGGATCAGCCGATCTCAATGCCTCCACCAATGGGAAACTCTGTCTACTCCGTTTCCCTGCTCCCTCACCATTTCACGATCAAATCTACACCCCATGCTGTTCTTCCCTGACGCGAACACTTGTAGCTCTTGTTGGTCAAGCCTTCAAGGGATGTTGGGGTTGAGGGGGGAGATTGGGATTGATTATACTCACTGGCGGAGCAGGGCCTGAATGGCCTACTCTGAACTCTCCCTGTGTCCCTGTTAAAAATAATACATTCACTGGATGCTGGCTAGGCCAGTGTTCTTGGTAATTAAGGGTGAACCACGTTGTTGTGGGTCTGGAGTAGGCCAGACCAGGTAAGGATGGTTATTTCCCTCTCTAAAGGGATTCAGATGGATTTTTCCAACAATCATCATAAGATTCTTACTTCTAGATTTTAATTTATTGAATTAGAAATCCCAATATGTTGCCGTTGGGGGTATAGGAACCCCGGAACATTCTTTGGATCAACACAGTCCAAGATAGTACTACTAGGCCTCCCTCTTTGGGCCTAGTAAGTTGGGAGGAACCAAACATTTCTGACCAGAGGCTGGTGGAACTCACTGACCGGTTCAGAAACTTCCAGAACGTTTAAGTGGCAATCTCGGGTATTCACTTAGTCTCCGAGGGAATGGGAACTCGCCGAGTTCGGGTAAGGACAGGATTGAGGGCCTGTTTCTGCTCCGCCCGACCGTGGAGCCCACAGGAGGAACGAAATGAGATCTTGGGCCCAGGCAAGGACGGGCAGGTCGGGGAGGCCTACCATTGGACTGTTCATCGAGAAAACTCAGGGAATGTTCTGGGGATCCAGCTTCAAATCCCACGAGGGCGGACAATAAGAATCTGGGAACTCACGGCTCCCCGTGATATTGGAAAGGACCACTTTTTAGGGAAGGAAACTGCCGTCCTTACCCGGTCCGGCCTACACGCAACAGAGGACCCATGCAGCGAGGTGGGTGACAGGGGACAGGCGACAAATACGAGGCCGAGCCCTCATCTCATGAATGAATTTAAAATAAAAACGTTTTCATCCTTCCGCGCGTGAACCAGGTGAGTGTTGGCACAATCATGTTAACTTTTCAGCTTATTAAGGAGAAAAACAATCGACAAATCGCCCCCAGGTTGGCATTTACGCGGTGAGAAAGGGGTAGAGGGCGTAGTTTCTCATGTGACGCTGTAGAGAGGTGTGGGATGCGTCAAAAGCTGTTGTCCATGCTGCTGCGGCTCTTTACTCGGGTGCTGCGCACCGTCTGGGACGAGGCCTCTTCGCTGAGGGCCCGGCGTAAGGTGGTGCCCAGGGATCTCCGTGCCCGCTGACGGACGTCCCGCCCGGCGAAGACGTAGAGCAGGGGGTTGAGGGCGCTGTTGAGGGACGCCAGGCCCACCGTGGCGTAGTCCCAGGCCCGGACGGCCTCGTAGTCGCTAAAAGCCTGAAGTAGGCCGAAGACATGGTAGGGGAGCCAGCAGACGAAGAAGGCCAGCACCACCGCCAGGATCAGGCGCAGGGGGCGCCGCCGGGACCTGCCGAAGTTGGCGCGACGCACCCTCAGGCCGATCATCAGGTAGCAGGCCGCCATGACCAGGAAAGGGAGGATGAAGGCCACCAGGGCCCGCGACACCTCCACCAGGCGAATGACCCCCGCCCCAGCGTAGTTGGCGGTGCAAGTGGACGTCAGGGGCGACACCCGGCGGTGGAGGAGGGCAGGCAGGCACATGAGGCCTGCCAAGGCCCAGGCTGCGGCGCAGGCCGCCCAGGCCCAGCCTAGTGTGCGCCAGCGCTGCGACCAGACGGGCAGCGTGACGGCCAGGCAGCGGTCGACGCTGATGGTGGTCAGCAGGAAGACGCTGGCCGCCATGTTGAGCAGGATGGCGGAGGGAAGGAGCCGGCACAGGGCCGTCGTGTCTGGCCAGCGGTTGCCGAGGGCGACGTTGGCAATCTGGAAGGGCAGCGAGAGGCAGTAGGCCAGGTCGGCGACCGCCAGGTTCAGGAACCACACGGTGTTCACCGTCCGCTTCATCCGAAAGCCCGCCACCCAGATGACAGCTGCGTTGCCAGGGGCGCCGACGATGAAGGTGAGGGCGTACATGGATATGGCCAAGATGGCTGCCGGGGTCAATGTGTGGACATGGTCCACAAACACGTCTTCATCTGTGTAGTTCTCATAACTGTAGTTTGAAAACCACATGTCATAATTTTCAAGACTGTAATTAAATAGTCCATACCCATCCATCGTGGTACCTGAAACAGGAGAGAGACAACATAACAGCAACTAAAAATGTTGCAGGCCGTCAGCTGAACGAATCCAGTTGAGTGGTTAAAACCTCTGCCTCAGGGCATTTCGCACCCAGGTTGGGGTCTACACGCTCGTCCCCGTCTCTGTGCGGGTTTCTTCCCACTGTCTGAAGACGTGCAAGTGAGGTTCGATGCTAAATTGTCCCGTAGTGCCCAGGGATGTGCAGGTTAGGGTGGATTGGCCGTGCTAAATTGTCCCGTAGTGCCCAGGGATGTGCGGGTTAGGGTGGATTGGCCGTGCTAAATTGTCCCATAGTGCCCAGGGATGTGCGGGTTAGGGTGGGATTGGCCGTGCTAAATTGTCCCCTAGTGTTCAGGGAGGTAGAGGGTGTATATTAGGTGGGTCATAGGGGGATGCTCTGAGGGTCGGTGTGGACTTGTTGGGCCGAAGGGCCTGTTTCCACACTGTAGGGATTCTAATAAAACCTCCACAAGGGGGAACAGAACCTTGTGTTAAGGAAATCAGGAGGTTAAATCTTTTAAAAAGGAACAAATTTGCTCAATGGGTTCATTTCCGGCTGGTAATGCAACAACATAAAATAGAGAAATAGAGTCAAACGGCACAGAAACAGACCCTTCGGCCCATCTCGTCCGTGCCGACCCACATATCCTAAATTAATCTAGTCCCATTTGCCAGCGTTTGGCCCCTATCCCTCTAAACCCTTCCTTATCCATGTCCCCATCCAGATGCCTTTTAGATGTTGTCATTGTACCAGCCCCCACCCACTTCCTCTGGCAGCTCGTTCCATACACGCACCACCCTCTGCGTGAAAGAGTTGCCCCTCAGGTCCCCTCCCACCTTAAACCTACGCCCCTCTAGTTTTGGACTCCCCTACCCTGGGGTAAAGCTATTCACCCTATCTATGCCCCTCATGGTTTTATAAACCTCTATAAGGTCACCCCCTCAGCCCTTCAACACTCCGGGGAAAATATCCCCCGGCCTATTCGGCCTCTCCCTGTGGCTCAGTGGTTAGCACTGCTGTCTCCGGTTTTGATTCCACCCTCGGTCGACTGTCTGTGTGGAATTTGCACATTCTCCCCTTGTCTGCGTAGGTTTCCTCCGGGGCCTCCAGTTTCCTCCCACAGTCCAAAGATGTGCGGGTTAGGGTGGGATTGGCCGTGCTAAATTGTCCCCTAGTGCCCAGGGATGTGCGGGTTAGGGTGGGATTGGCCGTGCTAAATTGTCCCTTAGTGCCCAGGGATGTGCGGGTTAGGGTGGATTGGCCGTGCTAAATTGTCCCGTAGTGCCCAGGGATGTGCGGGTTAGGGTGGATTGGCCGTGCTAAACTGTCCCGTAGTGCCCAGGGATGTGCGGGTTAGGGTGGATTGGCCGTGCTAAATTGTCCCATAGTGCCCAGGGATGTGCAGGTTAGGTGGCATCATAGGGATAGTGCATTGGGTTGGGACTGGCTGGGATGCTCATTCGAGGTTCTGTGCAAACATGATGGACTGAACGGACTCTGTCTGCTCTTCCACCCACACGCTTCATGACCTGTTCTGATTAAAAGTCTCTCTCAGCCTCGAATATAACCCCTCCATTCCCCTTCCTGATTAAACATCTCTCTCTCAGCCTCGAATATAACCCCTCGATCCCCCTTCCTGATTAAACATCTCTCTCTCTCTCAGCCTCGAATATAACCCCTCGATCCCCCTTCCTGATTAAACATCTCTCTCTCTCTCAGCCTCGAATATACCCCCTCGATCCCCCTTCCTGATTAACCATCTCTCTCTCTCTCAGCCTCAAATATACCCCCTCGATCCCCCTTCCTGATTAAACATCTCTCTCTCCCTCAGCCTCGAATATAACCCCTCGATCCCCTTTCCTGATTAAACATCTCTCTCTCAGCCTCGAATATAACCCCTCGATCCCCCTCCCTTATTAATTAACCATTTCTCTCTCAGCCTCGAATATACCCCCTCGATCCCCCTTCCTTATTAAAAATCTCAGCCTCGAGCGACCCAGCCCCGACAGCCCTCTGCGGTAAAGAATTCCACAGACTCACTCCCCTCAGTGGGAAGAATTTCCTCCCCATCTCTGTCTTCATTGGGTGACCTACCCCCTTACTCTGAGATGGTGCCCCCTCTGGTCCTAGACTCTCCCACACAAGTGGGGGAAACGATCCCTCCACACCTCCCCTGTCAGGTCCCCCCCACCTTTTCTATTTCTATAAGGTCACCCCTCATTCTCCTTAACTCCACCCGACCTACTCAACCTCCCCCTCATAAGGCAGCCCTTCCATCCCCGGGATCAGCCACGTGAACCTTCCCTGCACTGCCTCCAATGCCGGTCTATCTCTGCTTGGATACGGGGCCCTAAAACCCTTCACCGTGTTCCAGCTGGGCTCTGACTGGGGCCTTGTATAGTTTTAACAAAACCTTCCCTACTTTCATACCCTATTCCCTTTGAAATAAAGGCCAACCCGCTCCCTCGGCGCTGACCCTCCGACGGCGCCTGCTCCCTCGGCGCTGACCCTCCGACGGCGCCCGCTCCCTCGGCGCTGACCCTCCGGTGGAGCCGGGGACACAGACAGGACACCTCGAAGGCGATATCCCTCCCGTCTGGCCGCGAGCTCTCTCTCTCTCTCTCCTCGCCAGGATGACCGCGGCTTGGAGACTCGGCTCGGAGGCCGCGTCAAAAGCTCGGAGCGTTCAGATATGTCAAGATATTGCGTCTCCTGTGGTCTGTCTTCTGCTTGACGTTAAAATGTCACAGCAGACAGTCAGACAAAACCGCAGACCCCAGGCACCTGCTCCACGCATCTGGGAGGGAAAAAGCAAAGCAGGAAATGAAATTTCACTCCCTCTCTCTCTCACTCCCCCTCTCTCTGCTTCGTTTCCACTGGTCAGACAGATTGTGGTTTTCGTGCCTCCTATATTTTTTTCGTCGTTACGAATTCGCTGATGGCACGATTGGCCTCAGCAGCGACAAGCCGCTGAGCGGGTCTGGAGTCACGTGTAGGGCAGACCAGTTGAAGACGGCAGATGCCCCTTCACCAAAGGGCAGGAGCGAGCCAGCAGTGGGTTTTCTGTTCGTGGTCGCCATTCGCCTCTGGATTCCGGTTGTTTTCCTTCAATTGGGCTCGAATTCCGCTCTGCAGACGAGCCCAGGACATGCCCAGGGTCTCTGGGTTGGCAGCCCGACGATGTGACCACCCACGCTGTCATCGGGCATCCGTGCAGAGGGCTGTGGGCATCTCCGACAGTACGCCCACGTTCCCAATGACCCTCAGGTCTGGAGGACGAGTTAGGGTCCAAATTGGCAACTGCCTGCCACCCACCCATGCCCCCCGAACCCCACTTTTCCGCAGCTATGCCAGTCCAAGTAGTGTCTTCAGAGAGGGAGTGCCAGCGTGTGGCAGACACACAGGTGGGTGCCGGGGGAAGCTGGATCATCCTTTTCCCGACCCCCTATCTCTCCCCTTTCGCGCTCAGCATTATACTCAGCGTGGATATTGTTTAAACAGCGAGGGTGATTTTCAGCGCTGACCCTCCGACAGCGCCCGCTCCCTCGGCGCTGACCCTGTGACGGCGCCCGCTCCCTCGGCGCTGACCCTCCGACAGCGCCCGCTCCCTCGGCACTGACCATCCGACAGCGCCCGCTCCCTCGGCGCTGACCCTCCGACAGCACCCGCTCCCTCGGCGCTGACCCTCCGACAGCACCCGCTCCCTCGGCGCTGACCCTCTGACAGCGCCCCGCTCCCTCGGCACTGACCATATGTTGTGCACATTGACATTGAACGAGGAATGGTTAGATTTTTAAATTCTTTATAAATTCATCCACTCACCCCATCCTCCCTATCTCTGTCACCTCCTCCAGCCCCCTACACCCCCTCCCTATCTCCGTCACCTCCTCCAGCCCCCTACACACCCTCCCTATCTCTGTCACCCCCTCCAGCCCCTACACCCCATCCGTATCTTGTGATCTGTGCACTCCTCCGCTCGCAGCCTCTCGAGCTTCCCTCTACTCCCATTTCTGCGCTGTCGTGGGGCCGTGCCCCTCAGCTGTCTGAGGGGAGGCTAGAGTTCAGGGTTCCCTCCCTCAACCTCTCTCTCTCTCTCTCACTCTGTCAAAATCTTCCCTCCTTCATGCTGCTCCTGACTCGGGCTCTCGTCGTGGGATCCCTACGATCCTCTCAAATGGCCCAGATTGTCCGAGCACCTTTTGTTCGTAATGAGGGCAGGAGTGTGGACCGAGATCCCCGTTACTTCCCCCAAGCCATGGCTTGACTCACCCTCCCGTCCAGGCAAGAGACAGACAGAAATAATACAACCAGCAGTCAAAGCGTTCCCACTTACTTGTGTCGGGATGGGGTCCCCGTGTCTCTGCAGGTCAAGGGGGCCGAGATCCCCAGATTCCTCCTGGAACCCCCCAGCTCCGTCTCCCAAATGAGTCTGTCCAAGGGTCCTGACGTTCCTTCTCACATTCTGAGATAAAGTCACAGACACCCCACTGAAACCAACGTCTTCCCCTTTTTGAGATCGGAGGAACTGCCAAGACTGGAGTCAGAGATAACGCAGCGTGGGAGCCGGAGGAATGCAGCGGGCCAGGCAGCACCAGAGGAGAAGGAGAACTGACGTTTCAGGTCGGGAATCCTGCTGTGTTCCTCTGGGTTCATCTTTATTTCTTTCTTGTCACAAACCAGTGGACTCCGCTGGGACAACACTGTCCCTATCTCACATTCCCCAGGATAGGGGCAGCACGGGGTTAGATACAGAGTAAAGCTCCCTCTACACTGTCCCCCCATCAAACACTCCCAGGACAGAGGGTTAGATTCAGAGTAAAGCTTCCTCTACACTGTCCCCCAATCAAACACTCCCAGGACAGTTTAGCATGGCCAATCCACCCTAACCTGCACATCCCTGGGCACTACAGGACAATTTAGCACGGCCAATCCACCCTAACCTGCACATCCCTGGGCACTA